AGTACTCTTGCTTAGAAAATCCCACGGACAGAGGAGCCTGGTAGGCTATAATCCACAGGGTTGCAAAGAGTCGGACACGACTGAGCGACTTCATTTCACTCACTCCAGAGGCTGATGGGAACCAGGAAATGTTTCACTTTACTCCCTCCACCTTTATGTAGAAGGAGCCTGAATTCTAACTCAGGCAAGATGGTTCTTGGGGACACGAGTGCCATCTTCTCAGTTGGCTGCTTTTCTGAATAAAGTTGCTAGCCCTTGCCCCAGCAACTCGTCTGTTGATATACTGGCCTTTTGTGCAGTGAGCAGTACGAGTGTGGACTCAGGAACACTGTCTCCTCTTGCATGTCAAGACAGGAGCCTCCGTGTACTCTCTGGGTAATGGGACTAATCGCTGCTCCTGTTGGAAGAGGCGATGCCTCCAGTGGGCACACTGGGCTCTGTGGAGCTCCCCCTGCTTGTCTGAACGATATAACAGAACGTGACACTTGCAGAGCTCTCCCTAGAGCTGGGCCTTCTTGCTGCCGTTGTTGTTCAGTTGCCCAGTTGTGTCTGACTCGTTGCGATGCCATGGACTGCAGCACGCCAGGCCTCCCTGTCCCTCACCATCTCCCAGAGTTGGCCCAAGTTCATGTTCATTGCATCGGTGATGCTGTCCAGCCATCTCATCCCCTGACACCCTCTCCTCTTTCTGCCCTCAATCTTTCCCAGCATCAGGGATTTTTTCTAATGAGTCATCTGTTTGCATCAGATGACCAAAATACTGGAGCTTCAGCATCAGTCCTTCCAGTGAATATTCAGGATTGATCTCCCTTGATTGACTGCTTTTATCTCCTTGCTTTCCAAGGGACTTTCAGGAGTCTTCTCCAGCACCACAGTTCAAAGGCATCAATTCTTTGGCATTCTGCCTTCATTACGGTCCAGCTCTCACAGCAGTACAATTGGGAAGACCTTAGCCTTGACTATCCAGACCTTTGTTGTCAGAGTAATGTCTCTGCTTTTCAACACACTGTCTAGCTTTGTCATCGCTTTCCTGCCAAGAAGCAATTGTCTTCTGATTTCATGGCTGCAGTCATCATCTGCAGTGATTTTGAAACCCAAGAAGAGGAAATCTGTCACTACTTCCACCTTTCCCCCTTCTAATTGCCATGCAGTATTGGGGCCAGATGCCATGATCTTAGTTTTTTTAATATTTAGCCTTTCACTCTCCTCCTTCACCCTCATCAGGAGGCTCTTTAGTTCCTCTTCGCTTTCTGTCATTAGTATGTCATCTGCATATCTGAGGTTATTTTTGTTTTTTCCACCTATGTTGATTCCAGCTTATAACTCATCCAGCCTGGCTTTTCTCATGATGGGCCAGGCCTTGTACCAACACCTTATTTTTAACTCATCTAACCCTCTCGCCACCTAAGTGTGATTATTATTCCCATTTTACAGATGGGGAAACTGAGGCCCAGAGGGGTTAGGTCACACAGGCATAACAGATGGGCTCCAGGGTCCTCCCAGTGAACCTGCACCCATGGTGACTGCTGTGGTTGTTTTCTTCAGGAGAATCCCTTCAAGGAAAGGATCGTGGAGGCTTTCTCTGAGGATGGTGAGGGGAACCTCACCTTCAATGACTTTGTTGACATGTTTTCTGTGCTCTGTGAGTCGGCTCCCCGCGAGCTCAAGGCCAGCTACGCTTTCAAGATCTACGGTAACCCGGGCCTGGAGCAGGGGTGTGAAGCTGTGTGTGGTGGTGGCATTCCCTAGGCCCGCTGGTTATTGCTGGTTCCCACCCTGGGGACACTACCAGGAACACTTTGAAGAGTGCTTGTTCAGCGCGGTGGCCAGAGGGGACAACTTGTACCTGAGAGACACCTGTAGGGTCCTGAGATCAGAGGAGGGAGAGTGGGCAGTTAGCCTGAGGCGAGTTCACAGGTGGCGACCTCAGCAGGGCCTGGAGTTCATTCACAGGAGCGCGCGGGCAGACATACCCGGGAGAGGGAGCCGCCTGTAAGGAGCTCAGGGAAGCCCGCCGCACAGGGCTTGGGGAGCTGACGGGGAGACGACCGTGGTGGGATGAGCACAGTGTGAGTCTGGAGAGGCCATTGTGACTGGGCTTTTGAGGAGCCAGCCAAGGAGTTTAGGGGTCACTGTGGGGCTTCAGGTGAGGCCAGGCAGCCCTGTGTTCTAGAAAGATCTCTCAGCATCCTGGAGGTGTGCACTGGAGGAGTGAACTGGAGGAGCTAGACTGGCAGAGGCCAGGGTTCTGGAGAGGAGGCCTCTGCAGGTGGTGAGGCTGGGCTGAGAGGTAGGCTCCTCGGTCCCCCTACCCGACTCCAGCAACTGCTGCCAGAGACAGGGTGACCTCATTTCACCCCAGCCCAGCCCAGGACCCCTTGTCCCACTGGCCACCAGAGGGCGCCGAGCACCCACGAAGCCCTTGGCTTCTGCTCCAGCCACAGGAGAGCCCTTCACACTGCAAGAGCTCACATGCGGTGAGCCTGGCCGAGGACTGGGACTGGTGTCAAACCCTCAGACAGTGCTCAGATGGGAACTCTGAGGCCCAAGGAGGGGTTGGAACCCGTCCTGGAAAAGAGGATCCACAGACAAACCTCCTGTCCCCTGCATCTTTGGTCAGCCAGGAGATCCCAAGGCAATGGGGTCCACTGGGCTGTTTTTTCATTTTCTAGTTGTCCTGTTTATTTCAGGGAACCTTCGTCTACATACATCTCTGCACCCACATTGTATTTGCACAGCAGAGGCTTGGTATCCACCTTGTCTACTCTCCACAAACTACACCCACAAGGTTCAAGTAAAAAACCTCTCAGATTCCATCCATTGTCCCCTTAATGCTGGACCCCAGGACGTTGCTCCTGGGAGAGGCTGCTGTCTGCCAGAGAGGGGAAGTGCAGGGCACACAGCCAGGCAGGCGTGGGGACAGGTGAAGGGAGAACCAGTGCTCCCCAGCCGCCCTGGATGGGGTGTAGAATGGAGAAAGGGGACCTGGGTTTTGGTGCTGGGGGGGGAACTGGGGCCTGTCCTCTAGCTAGGATCACCCATTCCCTTGGCCTTAGTTTCCTCATATAGAATGGGCACAGGGTTCCCCATCTTGCCAACCCTACAGGAACGGTCTCCAGAGAGCTGAGACACCACCAGAGGGCAGAGAAGTATCCTATCTTGTGCCTGCCCCAGGGCCCCTTCATAGGCCAGTGTGGGGATGCGCCATGGAGGTTGCCAGACAGGAGCTTGGACTCTGGGATCCAACACTGAGCAGGGATGTGACCTCAAGTCATTTGTCCTTTCCAAGCCTGTTTCTTTATCTGTATAGTGGGGATTCTAATTGTACCCACTGAAAAGGCTTGTGGTGAAAATTAAGTGAGATGGAGCATGAAGTGCTTACATGAAGTTGTGCTCTTCATCTCTACCACTGATGCTAACAGGTTGGCCATTTGGCAAGAGGAGCCCTTATGTCTAGGAAGCACCCCCCCACCCCCACCCCAGCCCACAACTAACCAGGAGGAGGCGTTTGAGCTAAAACTTGATGGAATCTGCTACACAGATACATGTGAAGTGCCCTCCAGGTAGAAGAAACAGCACAGGCGCAGAAAGAGTTGATAGTTAGGTTGAAAAGCAGTCAGAAGGGTGTTCGAGTTCGCTCTTTGAGCCTGCATGGTCGGCCCTCTGAACATGTTGCTGGGCTGTGGGCAGTGGTAGTGCCTTTTGCCAAGGATTAGAATCAAATCGTTCCCTGCTCTTTGTGCACAAAAGCTAGGCATGGGGCCTTTCCCTGAGGGCCTTCTGAGTCTCCTGACCACCTTGTCTGGCTAGGGGCCAGAGGCAACGTGGTGCAGTTTAGAAAATGTGGGTCTTAGCATCAACCAGGCCCTGGTCAGCATCCCAGCTTCCCTTCCAAGCAGACATCTGACCTTGATTCAGTCATTTGACCTGTCTGGGCCTTGGTTTCTTTAGCTCTAGAGGGAACATGGAGTCCACTGTGGGGAAAAGCTAGGGGGGCCATTTGGCCTGGGTCTCATGTTCCCAGGAAGCCTCAGATTTGGACATTCCAAGTGTCTCAGGCTAAGTCTGTGCTTGTCGTGCTGGGGGTTTGTGCAGATGGTGAATGTGGGTTTGTTGAATGTGGTATTCAGAGGTGCCTTGTAGGTGAGCCCCATCTTGGTCCCGGTCAGCTGAGGACCAGGATCCAGTGTCCCCAAGAGGGTGCATGGGGAGGTGTCTGGTGTGAGCAGCTTGGAGGAGAGTGGCCTGAGTGTCCCCATCCCCTCCTTGCAGACTTCAACACAGACAACTTCATCTGCAAGGAGGACCTGGAGCTGACGCTGGCCCGGCTCACCAAGTCGGAGCTGGATGAGGACGAGGTGGTGCTGGTGTGCGACAAGGTCATCGAGGAGGCCGATCTCGATGGTGACGGCAAGCTGGGCTTCGCGGACTTTGAGGACATGATCGCCAAGGCCCCGGACTTCCTCAGGTGCGGCTCCAAGGGGCTGGTTTGGGTGGGGTGGGCCTCAATGGGGGCCACAGCCAGGCCCCCACAAGGCTGAGGGCCCTTGCTGCTCCTATTTTTTTAGTACATGTGCTGCCAAAGCGAGCACCCTCACTGCTCCTGAGAGCAGTTGGCGCCGCAGGCCCCATGCGGCCCAGGAGGCAGGTCAGGCTCCAGGCCCCGCTGCCCTCAGCATGTGCCTGGTGAGCCCCCTGTCCCCAGCAGGGCCAGACTCTCGGGAAAAAGATAAGACCTGGGGGCCCTTTGGTCATGTGGGGGTTGGATGCTTAGGCATGGCTGGTCCTCCAGGCCTTCCTTCCCTCGTGTGGATTATTCATGAACTCTACATCCTCCCGGAGGAACTGTACAGGGTTAGACACGGGGCCTGGTTGGGTTTCTGCGAGGACCTTTACCCACCCAGTCCAGAGCCGCTCACCCCCTCTTGCTCTTTCCTTCTTTCCAGCACTTTCCACATCCGGATCTGAGGACAGTGACCAGAGCCGACCATCCAGCCCGGTGCCCACACGAGTGTGACCTCCAAGCTCCCCAGGAGCGGAGCTGTGGCCTCTGGGGTTTACACCCACGAACACTTCTTTGGCCCTTTCAGCAAAAAAAAAAAAAAAAAAAAAAAATCCTTAACCAGGGAAGGGGGGATGTGAGGAGCAGGGCCCTTCCCAGTCCCCCTGTGGGCCTTCCACAGGCCCTCCCTCTGTTCCCCCACCTTCCCTACTCCCCAGTCCTCTCCCAATCAGAAATGGCCCCAGTGGGAGGGGGAGGAGGAACCCTAACAGGGCTGGGGTGCTGACTTGTCCAAGTGCTGGGCAGGCACTGTGGTTGCCCAGGGCAAATGGGAAAACAAAAAGAGGACAAGGTTTAACAAGCTATGCAATCTTTCTCTAGAACTCACAGCCGGGCTGCACCCCGGGCCCATCTGCTCCTTCTCCCCAGCCCTTCCCAATGTGAAGCTGTGTGAACCGTGGGTGCAAGGACTTGGTCCCCGTCCCTGTCCACGTCCTGACCACCACCCCATCCGCCCTCCCCGACGACACGGAATCCTCAGTGGTGTGTGCTGTCCACAGATTTGTGAACTCCTGATAGTAAAACACTTTCATGTTCTCTGTGTCTGCCAAGGTTAGGAAAGGTTGATCCCTTTTCTCCTTGAAATCTCCTCACCTCTTGAGGTTAAGCACTGCCTTCCCACTTTCGGCACCAACTTTATTTCAGTGCTTGTGTCCTTGAGAGGAGACATATCTGTGCCCCAGATCCTAGGGAGCCCCACGAAGAGCTGATGTTGGGTGAAAATCATCTCCACGTCCCTCATAGTAAGAGTCATTCCAGTGAACATTTGTATCAGGCATGGGGCTAGGTCCATGGTGACCAGTCACATAGGGATGGCCAGCAGGTTCCCACTGGCTGGCTCCAGAAACCGCCCAGGCTGAGCCCAGGCAGCCGGCCAGGTTTGGGCCTGCGTTAGGAGGGGTCTGAGAGCCACCCCTAAAGATCACCACTGGCTGGAGGCAGAGCACAGATGAGGGTGACCTGGTCATATAGGGAGGCCAGCAAGCACCCACTGGCTGACTCCAGAAACCGCCCAGCGGTGCCCAGGCTGGCTGACTGTGCAGCCTCACGCAGGTTGCTGCTCCTCTCTGGGTCCCTGTCCCGCCCCCACCCCCCACCCACTCATCTGCAGCCAAAGGGTCAGACCAGGGTCTGCCCAGCTTGCATTATGAGGCCCGCATGAAGGCGGGGGCGGAGAGGGGCAGAGGGCATGGCCCTCAGGAGCCCAGCTGCCTCAGGGTCAGAACCATCCCCTCTGAGGCTGGCACTTTGCGGCTACTTCTCACCCCTACCCCCACCCCCCACCCCTGGGTTAGTGGTACCCCCGCCCCCATCTGATAGGGCCACAATGAGGGGGACTGGTTTTGGTCTCCGGAGCAACTGTACAACATCACTCAGTTAAGAAAACGCCAGCTGTGCCACAGGGCCTGCCCTGTGCTCAGTAAGTGTTCAGTGGTGGGAGGCCAGCTCCATCAATCGTCCAGGACCCCCCACCCCAGCCTGCTCATCTTGGACGGTGGGGGTGCTCACCCCTGCCTTTGGCCGCTCCCCCCTCCTCTCAGGCCTTGACTTCCTCTGGATGGGTGGGAGACCCTGGGGTGGGGAGTGGGACTCAGTCCTGAGCGGCTGGTGACTGGAAGGTCCCCTCCCACCCTGTCGCTGGTGGGCACCGAGGCTGTCTCAGAGCCTGGTTCCAGAGCAGGGTAGGTGGGTTTGAGGATCCAAGGGGTGCTTTCAAGCAAGCCGAGAGCTTCCCAATAACCCCTGGCATGACCCCGGGCCCAGGAAACCCGCTGGTGGGCCGCTGGAAGCCAGGCCTCCTCAGGGTTTGTGCTTCTTGTCTATGAAGAAGAGCCTCCGGAGCTTGTCAGGCTGCAAGGAAGGACACAATGCTGGAGCATGGGTCCCCGGACAGGGCGGGGAAAGCCAGGCTTGGAGGTCCCTCCACAGGGACTGGGAGCTGGGGCCCAAGGCCAGAGAAAGGCCAGGTCAGAATGCAAATGGCTAGTTGCTCCACAGTCCCTCACAGTGCCAGAAACTCCCTCCAGCCCTCTGGTTTGGATGAAGGACTCGCTCTCTCTCACCCCCCTTCCTTCACTGGGTCTCTGGGGGTCCCCACCCCAGTCCTCTCTGCCTCAGCCACACCCTAGGTAGGATGGGGGGTGGGGTGTATGTGGTGCCTTTAGGACCCAGAAGGACTTTGCAGCCGGAGGAGGAGCAGACGTGGGATGTGGCTTACGTAGTTCTTAGAAGGACTGTCCACAGGCAGGATCTGCGGTCCTGGGAGTCAGGACCTCAGAGGCTGTCTTGAACCAGGGGAGTTCCCTGTCCTGGGGTGTGTGGGTACAACCCTGCCCTGAGGGAGGAGCTGGCAGAGCTTCTGGTGAAGGCCTTTCACCTGGGAGCTCAGGGTTTTACTGTTTAGGCCAGGAGAGGAGGTCTGCACATGCTGGAGATCTGAGGCTGCCGCCTTGAAGAGGGGGCTCGCCTGGCTCATCGGCTCCAGGTACAGGCAAGTACACTGGAGTGAACCCTCAGGAGGGTTCCTCTGCCTCCCTGGGAACTCTGACCCCCTCCCTCCATCCTCCTGGTCTTTGCTTCCTCCTTTCTCCTTTCTTAGTCAGAAGCCCCCGGGAATAACAGTTATCCATTGACAGCTGTCTCTGGGCTGTATCCTGAGCACATAGGGATGGCTAGCATCATCTCCTGGGCAGCCACCCCTGGAAACAGCACAGGACAAGCCCATTTTACAGATGAGGAGATGGAGATATATCCTGGGTAGATGCTAAATAAGAATACAGGATGTCCAGCTAAATTTGAACTTCAGATAAATAAGGAATAATTGCAGTATTGGTAACTATGCTAAAAAACATTACTCATTGTTTATCTGAAATTCAGATTAACTGGGTGTGTTGTATTTTATCTTGCTGAATCTGGTGATCTTAGTTGCATGGGAAACTATTTTGCCCAAAGCCACATGGGTAGGGAGTGCCTGAGCCATGAAAAGGGACAAGGCAAGTCAAACCTGGAGCCAGGGTCCTTGTCCACCTCTCTGAGGCTCTGAGACCCCCACAGTGGCAGGGGTCCTGCCACAAAGAAAGACTTGAGAAGGGCCTGAAAGTTCCCATCTTACATCCAAATCTAACCTCTGCCTCTCCCACCATCTCCAAGCAGAAGTCAGGGCTGGGAAGTTCTGGGTGTGGTGCTGACCTGACCCACCCTGTCTGAGGGCCACAGGTTCCCTCCTTCAGCAGCTCCCTGAGGGCTGGCGCCCCTCCCGAGAGCCCACCTTGTGTGTCCGTCCGGCCTCCTTGCTCCTGGCTGCTTGGATTTGTGTGTCTGTCCAGCCTCCTTGCTCCTGGCTGCTTGCTCCTGGGATTTGTTCATAGGTGTGTCTGGGCTCTGGGAGCTCCGGGACCCCCGAGATCCTCTCATAACCACAGTCCGTGAACCCCGAAAGCTTGCTGTATGTAGGGCTCATCCCAGGATAGGGGGTCCTGGCCGGGCCCCCCCAGCAGACTGCGATCTGCTCATAGGCACTGCCGCCTTGACATGGCACATCCCTGGCGTCCTCTGAGAGGTCTTCTGTACAGATGGACTCGTAAGTGTCTGCACAACTGCTCTCAGAGCAGGGCTGGGCCCCACGGCTCAGATTTGGAGACCCGTGGCTCCAGGTAGCACCTGAGGATCCCGAGGCCTCAGAACTGGAGGGCAGGAGGAGGCCCCAAGAAGTGGGAGACACCCTAGGACCCTGGCCTGGGCTCACCCCAGAGAGGGCAGGTCCTGGGCCATCGGGCTTGTTCTGGCTTCCGTCTGACAGTCGCCTCGGGGCCTCCTTGCCTGGAGAGCAGGCCTGGCTACCACTTGGAACCGGCCCCTGCCAGCCGGGTACGTCTGTGTCCAGGCCTAGCCGTGCCTGGTTCATCTTCCTTAGGTCTGCGTAGACGGTGTCAGTGGAGCCTCCAAAAGAGTTGCTCAGAAGGGACGCTCTCCTCTTCGGGAGAGGGGGCACCTTGACAGGGGCCTGGAGAGAGGGACAGAACTGCTGAAAGGTTACCCTGCCACCAGGCTGCCCTCAGCTAAAGTGAAGCTTGCTCAGAGAAGCCGAGGCCCCTGGCCTTGGACTCACTTACCTGACTGTTATGTGCAGGGGTTGGTGGACATTTGGGGTCCCTGCCAGCTTCGTGTTCTAGGACTCCCGAGTATGGTCCTTACATTGGCATTCAAGGTCAGGGGCCATGAGCTCTACCGCCCACGGAGATCATCCTGTCCTTCTCCTCTCTCCCTTGCCCCCCAGAGAGACCCCTGCATTCACTGCTCTCTTCCCCTTCAGAATGGGCCACCCTCAAGTCCATCAATTGTGTAATTACTCAACAAATATTTAGTAAGAACTGTGTAGACACTGTCCCAGGTGTCAAGGGCTCCATAATGAGCAAGACCACCTCTTGGGGGTTTACATTCTAACCTGGAGATGGGCAACATACTACTCTGTTTTTGCTCAATGTGGTTGATGTAACACATGATGTAATAGCATGCATGCTCAGTCACTCAGTCATGTCTCACTCTCTGCAACCCTATGGACTGGAGTCCGCCAGGTTCCTCTGCCTATCAGGTTTTCCCAGCAAGAATACTGGAGTGGGGTGCCATATTCTTCTCCAGAGGATCTTCCTGACCCAGGGATCGAACCCGCATCTCTTGTGTCTCCTGCATTGGCAGGCGGACCCTTTACCACAGTGCCACCTGGGAAGCACCCCCATATAATAGTGTATCACAAGATAATATACTGTCAGCTCATGATCAGTACTATGAAGAACAAACCTGAGGCATGGGATAGGGACAATGGCAGGTGGGAGAGGGGATATTTTCCATAGTTTAGGTGGTCCTTTCTGAGGAGAGGGCATTTAAGCAGAGAATGGCATGCAGCAAGAGTAGCAGCCATGTGGATATCTGGTGGGAAGAGTATTCCAGGCAGTGGGTCAGCAAGTGCAAAGGCCCTGAGGTGGGAACAAGGCTGGTGTGTTCAAGGAAGATCCAAAGGCCAGTGAGGTTAGAGAAAAGTGAAGGAGGAGGAGAGGTAGCAGGACACCTGAGGAGGCTCTTGTGAACCCTGGTGAAGCTTTCAGATTTTATTTTAAACAAGAGGAGAAGCCCTCAACATTCTGTGATCTGATCTACATTAAAAAAAAAGTCTCTGTGAGTCCCTCCTGCAAAGGTGCTATGGAGAATAAACTACTGACTCACAGGCACCCCACTCTATAGTTTACAAAGGGATTTTTTTCAGACATTTTATATCCATTCCTTCATTCGAGCCTCACTGGAACCTCAGGATTGATAAACTGAGACTCAGAGAGGTTATGTGACTTGACTAAAGTCACTCAGCCAGAAAGTCCAAGCCAAGGATTGAACCAAATCAGCTAGCAGAGGCAGGCATGGGTGAACCATTGGGTGATTCCAAACTGGGCTGCTCCTCTCCCATAGGGCCTGGCAGTCAGCCTCCGCAGCCTGAGGGGCTGGCTGGGGAGGCCACTCCAGGCCTGACTGTGGGCGTGGCACCCACACTCCTGGTCTAGCAACCCTGACCTTCAGTGGCCCAGAATCCTCCTTACCTCCTTGCTTTCTTCCTCGGAGAGATTCTGGGGACTTGCCTCCAGAGAGGCAGGGGGGCTGCTGGCCTTCTCTGGCGGGTATTCCAGGCTAGGATTAGTTTGATGCAGGCCCAGGGTGATGGCGTCATAGAGATCATTGTCCTCCATCTGGGGGTGGTGGAGACACAGCAGGTGTGTGATCATACACCCCTGGCTGGCCTCTAGCCTCCTGCCAGAGACTGCTGGCCAGAGCCGGAAACATTCCCACCAGGTCCCAGGCCTCAGCTACAATGCTGTCTCCTCCCAGGCCCCTGCACTGAGTACCCATGGGTGGCAGAAAATAAAAAAGGCAAAGAAAGGCATGTGGTCCAGTGGGACGACCCTGGCCTGGGCACTCTGCCCCATCCCCCCCCCCCCCCCCCAAGGAAGAGGGGTACCTACCCGGGGGCAGGCAGCAGACAGGGACTCCCCAAAGGGCTCAAACTGCACCTCCTGGTAATGGCGCACGAGTTCTGCCAGAGTGCCGTGGCTCTGGGTGTCCCCTGAGATGAGGTAGCGCCGGTTTCGGAGCTGGTTGATGACAAAATGCCGGCAGCGGTCACTGCCCCTGCAACACAAGGACAACTGGCAGCTCTGCCTTGGCCCAGGGCTGGAGCTGACCCGGGGCCACGCTGCCCTCTGGGGCCTCGAGGTGCTCCTCTGGAAAGTAGGACTTGACATCCAACAAGCCCAGACTTGCAGGTGATGGGGACCTAGGGAGTTGCGTTCCAACCCTCCCCCCCCTCCCCTTCCATCGCCCCCACCCCGCTTCCCCTGCAGCATCAGTCGGAGGAAAGGGCAGGGGAAGTGAGGCACTCAGCTTGGGGCTCGGATGCAAAATGTAAAGGGGTGACACATATTCAGCAATCAGGATGACTAGTTATGCAATATATTAGAAAGTCAAAATTAATACCAAAATATCCACGATGAGTAAAACCTCTGTCTTAAAGATGAGGTCCGACCCCACACTTGCACACCTTGGCCTCACTCCTCTTACCTGAATTCCAGCCAGGTGGAAAAGATGGAATTACAGCTCCCATCTCCCCCAGCCTATAAAGTCCCACCCTCTTCATTTTCCTTTTTTATGGAAGAGTATTGGGCTTCCCTGGTGGCTCAGTGGTAAAGAATCTGCCTGCCAATGCAGGAGACTGCAGGTTCAATCCCTGGGTGGGGAAGATGCCCCAGAGAAGGAAACAGCAACCCCCTCCAGTATTCCTGCCTGGGAAATCCCACGGACAGAGGAGCCTTGGCGGGGTTGCATGGGGTCCCAGAAATGTCCGTGGGCTCACACAGAGGCAAACACGACTTAGCAACTAAACAATAAGGGTAAACACAGTGAAGGGCACAATCCTAAGTGTGCCACTCAATGGATTTCCCATGTAACCACCACCTCGAGGAAAACACAATATTTCCAGCTCCCCAGAAGACTGTCTTATGGCCCTTTCCAGAGTAGCCATCACCCTGACCCCCATCGTCACAGATCAGTTTTGCTCATTATGGAAATTCGCATAAATAGAATCATATTTTTTTCATGTCCATGTAGAATTAGCTTCTTTTTCCCCCCACTGATAGGTAGTATTCCATTTAATTTAAATATCCACAATGTATCCATTCTGCTGATGGACATTTAGATGATTTCCACATCTGGGCTGCTATAAATGAAGTTACTCTGAACATTTTTGTACATGACTTTTTGCTGAATATATGTATTCACTACTATTGACAATATCCCAGGACAGAGAGTTGGTGGGCCCGGGATACACTTATGCTTAGCTTTAGTAGAGTATGCTAAATTGTTTTCTAAAATCATTGCCAAGAATGAGAGTTACAGTTGCTCTGTGTCTTCACAAACTGTTTAGTAGCCTCTGTCTTTCTACTGTAACCAGCAGTTCACTGTGGTTTTAGTTTCTATTTCCCTCATCACTAAAGCTGCGGAACTGTCCTTTTTAGACCCTCTTTTATGAAGTGCCTCTATTTTGCCTGTGTTGTCTTTGTCTTACTGATTTGCAGGAGTTCTTCATATATTCTTGATATGAATCCTTTATTAGGTGTATGTATTACTATACAAAACCTCTCTGGCACTGTGGCTTGTCCTTTTATTCACAGAATGGTATCTTTTGATTAATAAGAGTTCTCAATTTTAAGAAACTCAATTTGTTAAGCTTCTCTGTCAGTACTTTGGGGTCTTGTTTAAGAAATCTTTGCCTACCACAAAATCATGAAAAATGTTTCCCATGTTTTCCTTTATAAGTATATTGTTTTGCTGTTCTCACTTGAATCTATGATCCATCTAGAATTATTTAAATTTTATGTATGATGTAAGGTGGGGGTCATTTTTTTTCCATTTGGATATCCAATTACTCCCACACCACTTATTGAAAAGGCCAGCCTTCCCCCATCCCTCACCCCTGAACTACAGTGGACATTTGTTGCAAATCAGGTAAACCAAATGTGGATGTTTGTTGCAAATCAGGTAAACCAAATGTGGGGGTCTGTTTCTGGATTCATTGGTTTATTTGTGTATCTGCAAGGAACCCCACTTTTATCTCTTTAATGAGTTGGCATTCCACCCAAGATCATGTTTGAATAATAATACTTTTTAAAAAGCCCTGATGCTGAAAAGACATTGAAAACTGCTGAGTTTGTATATTTCTAAATGCTGAGGACTGTATCAGGGACACAGAATAACAATAACTATTTTAATAATGAGTAACATTTATTTATTTACTATGTTCTGGACACTGTACCAGCACTTTTAAAGGTCTAAACTCACCAAACCCATTCAACAATTCTATGAAGTAAACACTGCAATATTACCATTTTACAGATGAGGAAACATAGGTTCAGAGAGGCAGAGTAACTTGCTCAAGGTCAGGATTTGAACTGGGACAGTCAGAACAGATGATAATTTTGAATCTGAATCTGAGACCTTTGGGAGTTTCCCTGGAGCCCCAGCCTGCCTCCCTACCTAACTGGGGGTTGGTGGCAGGGGGAAATTCTTTCTTTTTCTGCCTTTCCCCTTGCAACCTACTCTAGGGCCAGGCTCTGACATCACCACCTCTGACTTCATCCTGGCTATCTTGTCTCCTCGTCTCTAGGACCATTGCCTTACACTAGTCTAGATTTCATCGTCGAGCCCAGACCTCACCCCTCTGTGGTCCCCACTGCCCCCACACCTCCAGTATCTGTCTTGAGTCCTCCTTCCATAGGCTGCTTGCAGGTTCTTTGCAAAACCTAAGTCTGACCTGATGACCCTTCACTGTCGACGGACATAGCCCGGCATCTAAGGCTATCCTGAGCTGCCCCCTGCCCTCCTCTCCAGGCACTGCTCCACTGGGACCATGCATCCTGCACCCAGCAACCCGTGGGCTCCCCAACACCTTAGTCTGCCTTGTCTCTCTTCTTTTGCATGTGCAGTTTAACCTACTGGAAATGCCTTCCTAACCCTCAATCACACCTCCTTTCCTGCCCAGCAAGTTGCTTTCTTCCTTCTATCCTGGACTCAAAGTTCACCTCTGTGAACCTTCCCCAGTCTTCCATCAGGAGGAGGTTCTCCCCTGCCCGCCCCTCTGACTCACCCCCTTGAAGGCAGAGGCTTCTCCTAGTATATGGCTGGCACTGCTCAGAATGCCTGATGGACATGGTTGGATGAGTGAGGGGGTCAGGGAGTAAGGGCCTGGGGAAATCCCAGCTGTGTGGGCTGGTGAAGACTTGGAGCTTATCTTCAAGGCTGGCTTGTGGGAGCTGGAGCCTGCCTGCCCGCCCTTGGCAGAGGGCTTCCTCTCTTACCTGTAGGACAAGATGTAGCCGGTGGCCCGGTCACTGAGGCGGATGAGGAAGGAGCCAAGAGCTTTGTCCCTCAGCAGCTGCTCTGTCTGCCTGGGCAGAGGACATGCCATTAGCCAGGGCTGGGTCCCCGCAACAGCAGCAGGAGTAGCCCCAAAGTCAGACCCACCTCAGGGTCCCTGCCAGCCATGCCCCAGACCCAGAGCAGAGACCTCCAGACCTTTATAGAGAACTCCCTCAGAACTTTGGCTGGTCCTGTGGCCTGTCTGGGCTCAGTCAAGCAAATTCAAGACTCAGTCTGGTTGGAGTCCAGACTGGGTTGGAGTCCTGAAGTCACGTACATTGCCCCACTTACAGCCTCACCAGTAGGCACAAAAGCCACTGCCCCTTTCCACCTGAATGGCCCTATAGCAAGAAGAAATCCATATAGTGGGAGATGTTCAGTTTTGTGGATCCTTGCCTCAGGATTGCTGTGTACTGCCATGTGGACAACTGCTGCACAGTTGTGCAGGATGTGTACTGTGCAAGAGTTTCTGCAGGAGAAGGTGCTATTATATCTGGAGCCTGACCATGTGAGCAACTCTTAGGTTCTCATCTCTCTCCTTTGCACATCCCCTTCAACCCCAGGCAACTATGGATACTGCTAAATAATGCCAAGTATTCTGGAGGCATGGTGGAAAATTCCAGCTGTCTTCTGGTTTGGCAGTACATAGACCAAATAGTTCCTCACCCACTTATTCACCAAATACTGAGTGCCTGCCCTATGCAGGATTAACTACAGATTTTGCAGAGTTCAGTACTAAATGAAAATCTGGAGCCTATCAGTTAAAAAGTAAGAATTTCAACATGGGGACTGCAGTGTATTCAGCCAAGAATAGGGCCCTTCTGAGCAAAGGGCCCCATGTTACAATACAAGTTGATGCCGGCGAAGCTGGCCCTGGTTCAGTGCTAAGTGCTGGGCCGGGAGGACCCAACGGCTGGCCACATTTGTCTTTCCTTCAGCAAGTGGTTGGAGATCCACCCCAATCAGAAAGCCGGCCCCCACATTTTGGCCTTTATTCCTAGAGTAACTCTATATCCAGGGTTGCATGGGACAGTACCCACTTAAAACAGGTCTCCTAGTAAATTCTCCACTTACTAATAGTGTTCTGGTTTGGATGATAAATGAAACAGCACCCCTAGGAATTCATCAAGGTATTCAGAGCTGGTCTGAATGCATTCTGATCCAGCCTGCCGCCCCCCGCCCCCCGCCCCGCCTCTGCTTTTCTGGCAAACTGGCAGCCCCAGCAAACTCATAGCGGGGGGCCAAGGCCTTCACCCCCCTTGCCCACAGAAGCAGCCGTCAGAGAACTTGGTGCTCCTAAGTCTGCTTCCCCACCCACCGCCTCCTGGGGTCCCTGCCTGCCCCACGGAGAAGGCCGGGGCCAATCTGGCCCCAGACCATTTTTTTCGGCCCTGAGGGCCTATGGGCCCCGCTGGGTGTGTGGACAGGGGCAGCCTTACTTGCGGGTGATGAATCCGTGGAACCAGGGGGGCAGGGCTCCGTTCTGCAGAATGAGGGGGGCTTGCGTCTCCATGAACCAGCTCAGGGCCAGCTCCTGCAGCTCGGCCAGGGCCTGTCTGTCCCCAGCCCCCTCGGGCCCCCTGCCCAGGCTGAGCTGCCTGAGGTGGGCCTCCATTCTGGCGCGCACTGAGGTGGAAGCCGAGCCCAGACCACCCGCACGCCTCTATATCTGTGAGCGCCTGATGGACTGACGGCTCATTTGCCTGAGTCCATGCCCTCTGCAACCGCCCACGGCACACAGGAGCCCCATTGTCAGCTCTGACAATGTGTGGGCTGGCCCCCCTCTCATGCTCGGAGGCGGGGCACCTTGGCTGGCTGGGGGCGCTGGGGAGGGTCACATTAGCAGCTAGACAGGCCCGGGGTGGGGGGGCATCCCTGACTTCCTGGCTAGCAGATGAGGCGCACACTGGGCTTGGCCCCTTCCCCCAACCTCCGGTCTTTGTCTCGGCTAAAGACCAGACTCTGGCTAAAGGCCAGGCACTGCCACTCTTAGCAAAGTGGTGAATTTAAATTCTACTTATCCTTCCTTCATGGAGGCCACTTGCATTTTGGTGAAGTCCCGTGCTGGTGAATTCCTCCTCCTACTCAAACTTTACTGCCTACTGTGTGCTACATACTTGTGGGCCCTGGGAATAAAGCAGTAATCCAAAGAGCATTTTGCCTTGTGTCACATACATTCTAGTGGAAGGAGACAGGCAATAGACAAATACATATGTAGAATATGGTGTCAACTGTAATAAGCACTCCAAGAAAGAGAGGCAGAAGATGAATGGGTGTGTTATTTAGATGGGGGTTCGGGGTTGGGGGAAGCCTTGTCCAGAAGGTACCATTGGAGCAGCAAAAGAGGAGGCCAGGCTGGTGGCTGGGGAAGAGATGCTGCTCTCAGAAGAGAGAAAAGCAAGTGCAAAGACTATGAAGTGGGCCTCTGCTCTCTGATCCCTTAGCAGGGCTGCCATAAGGCCTTTGAGAGGAAGCAGTGAACCAGGTAGGGCCCAGGATATTTGTTCATGCAAACATTGCTGAACTTTTAATGTGTTTCCGAGTTTCATAGCAGAAATCCAGACTTGGGTGACGGGGAGGCAGGGGATGTTGCAGACAGCCCGCCCCAAGGATCTGGGTTAGAATCATTACACGGTCGGGGGCCTGAAGGCAGTTACTAAGTGGCTGCAGATAGCTCAGTTTTTTCATCTGTAGAACGGGAATGATTTTTAAAAAGCTACTTTCTAGACTCTAGGGCCATTATGACAACTAAATGAGATAGCACAATGGTTAAGAATAAGTTAAGTTGCTCAGTTGTGTCCAATTCTTTGCGACCCATGGATTGTAGCACACCAGGCTTCCCTGTCCATCACCAACTCCTGGAGCTTGCTCAAACTCATGTCCATCGAGTTGGTGGTGCCATCCAACTGTCTCATCTTCGGTCATCCCCTTCTCCTCCTGCCTTCAATCTTCTCCAGCATCAGGGTCTTTTCAAATGAGTCACTTCTTCACATCAGATGGCCAAAGTATTGGTGTTTCAGCTTTAGCATCAGTCCTTCCAATGAATATTCAAGACTGATTTCCTTTAGGATTGACTGGTTGGATCTCCTTGCAGTCCAAGGGACTCTCAAGCATCTTCTCCAACACCACAGTTCAAAAGCATCAGTTCTTCAGTGCTCAGCTTTCTTTATAGTCCAGCTCTAACATCCATACATGACCACTGGAAAAACCATAACTTTCTCTAGCTGGACCTTTGTAGGCAAAGTAATGTCTCTGCTTTTTATTTATTTATTTATTTTTTATGTCTCTGCTTTTTAATATGCTGTCTAGGTTTGTCATAGCTTTTCTCCCAAGGAGCAAGCATCTTTTAATTTCATGGCTGCAGTCACCATCTGCAGTGATTTTGGAGCCCAAGAAAATAAATTCTCTCACTGCTTCCGTTGTTTCCCCATCCATTTGCCATGAAGTGATGGGACCAGATGCCATGATCTTAGTTTTCTGAATATTGAGTTTTAAGCCAGCTTTTTCACTCTCCTCTTTCACTTTCATTTTGCTTAAGAATAAGGGAACATATGTATAAACTCAAAAACTGGTAGAACTGACCAATAACAATAAAAGTTAGGATAATGTTTGCCTTGGGGAGTATATGATAAGGAAGGGGTGAGGGGCTGCAGGGTGGTGATTATGTTTTATTTCCTGATCTGGGTGGTGTGTTAGGTAAATGTATTCACTTTGTGAAAATTCGTTGAGCTCTGGGCTCATGACCTATGCATTTTTCTATGTATATGTTCTACTTCAACAAAACAGCTCACTTACTAAAAAATGAGGATCCTGCAGTCGTCTTTCCTTGGTTCTAATCCCAGCTGACCAGCTGTAGGACCTTGAGGAAATGACTTAATTTTTCTGGGCTTCAGTGTCGTCATCTCTGAAACAGGGACAAGAACATGACCTGTTGCTTGGAAGGTTAAGATGAGTTATGTCCTTAGAACAGAGTTTGGAACACAAGCTATTAGGATCAGCTCTGATGATGACATAATGACTCTAAAATACAGTGGGTCCTCCCATTGGTAATTATTTTCATTATTACTATTATTATTACAATTTCATCACGGTCACCTCAAATCAAGAGAAAGTGATTGATGACAAGTATGTAATACGTACAACTCAGAGGAAAGGCCAGGGCATGACGCACACCTGCAACCTCCACCTGAACAGCTTATTCCCTGTCTCTGAGACTCATTTCTCACATCTGTGAACAGGGCTGCAAGGCATCTACTTGCCTCACCTGTCGATGGAGTGAGCTATTGCAGATCATGCTCTTCATGTGGGATAGGCCGACAGGCACATAGCAAGGATCCCCAGGGTCAGCTACTGGGAACACCACCTTTATAAACAATTTCCAGCCTTGACAGAGAGGAGTCAACTCCAGCCAAGGGATCCTGGAGGGATTCATGTACTTGTGAAACTGTCTTCCGGTCACAGCTGCAGGCCAGGGATACACTGGGGTCACAATGGAAATCACAGGCCCAAACTGGCAAGGACTGGAATTTCCTAAGTTGAGGTGGGGGAGGAACAGGGGTGGATTACATCTTTATCTTCCCCAATTTCTAACTGAAATTCAGCATTTCCTTCCATGACGAGCGCAGAGAACAAACCTTATTAGTATTCATAGAACTTGTGACTTTGTCACCAATGGAAATTACAGATACTCTCATATCACGTTACAGCTGTGGCAGACATCTTCGGATATTGATTTTGTTCACGATTACCTCAAAATAATTAAATCCAATGCTGGATCTTGTTCTTTAACATGCTAATAAAGAAGCACACTGTATTACTGCATCACAGATTTTTGAATAACTTTATTTCAATATGATTGATTTCCATTGTGATTCTATGTATTTTATTTCATGCATTTAAAAATATTATTCTGAGAAAAAGTTCATGAACTTCATCAGATACCAGAGAGGTCCACGGCCCAAAAAAGGCCAAGGAAGCTGGGGTTAGACCCAGAGTTGGTCTGCTGCCAACACAAAGTCCTGGAAGTATTCAAATACAAAGAAATGTGCTTCTATAATTTTCCATGAGGTGTTATCTCTCCACCTCCTTCTTAGGTGGGGTACTTTTATGAGCAGAACTTGGCCATTTGCATAAGAAGACAAAGGTTTTGTGTACGGGAAGGGGGAGCCCAGGATGGCTGCGGGACAGATATGAAGATTCCAAAGGCAGGCAAATAAAGGGGAGTCTATTTTTACACTCAGAGGAAATGGGGGTGAGGCCAGTTTTGGGGGCATCAAGTGAGCTCTGTGAAAGATTGAGGGGTCGGTTTTCCCTGAAGGCACTCCATAACCGACTCTTCAGTTCATGGCTGTGCTTACCTGCTGGGGGCTGGGCCTTGGGACAGAGAGAAGACTCCAGAGCGCCCACCTTGCTTCTCCATCCCTGGGTGCCCAGAGGTGTAGGAAGAGGAACTGAGCAGATTCAGGCTTTTGACTCTGTGGTGTGGGAACCTAGTACACGGCCAAGTGCTGCTGGCAGCCAGCCTCCACGGAGAATGCCAAAGTGGGCTTTTCAGTAAATTTTAGTCACATGTTTGTTTTAGTTTATGAACACTGCATTTTTGTGCCCCTTAGTTGGTTATTCCATTAGAATTTATTCCACAATAGTAGGGAGTGCAGAACGAACGATCCTATTTCTTTTTTTCTCAGACTGTCTGCCTTATTCTCCACTGTACTCTGTGCCTAGAACCATGTCTGGCATAGTTAGATGCTCAATAGGTATATTTTAAATTATCATCTAAATGTGTAATATATCCACATGGTTTTTAAAAATAAAAAATGTAGTACTCCCCTGGTGGTCTAGTGGTTGGGAGTCCGCCTGCCAATGCAGGGGACACGGGTTCCATCGCTGGTCTAGGAAGATTCCACATGCTGAGGGGTAACTAAGCCCATGTATTACAACTACTAAGCCCACACGCTTTAGAGACCATGCTCTGCAACAAGAAGCCACCACAACGAGAAGCCCACACACTGCAATTAGACAGTAGCCCCCACTCACTGCAACTAGAGAAAGCCTACATGCAGCAACAAAGACCCAGTGCAGCCAAAAATAAAAATAAACAAATAAGTAACAAAAAGTATAAAAAAGGTATCCCTAAAAATCTTCTTCCTCTAGGCATTAAACCCGCATCTACCCAGTGCCATCTCATTCCCACAAAGAACTACTCTTATTCATTTCTTGAATGTTCTTTCTGGGTTTCTCTATGCATATTCAAGTAAATATGTATATTCTTATTTTCCTCCCTTTGTTATAGAAGGGTAGAATCCTATGCAGTGTCCTGCACTTTGCTTCGTAAAACTCTTTAGTAACAGATCTTAGAGTTCCTTTCATAAGAATACATAGAGGGATGCCATTCTTTTTGTTACAGCTACATGGCTGCACAATCATTTTTGTAACCAGTCCCCTAGTGACGATCATCTGGGTTGTTTCCAGTGTTTTTATACTTCCCACAATGCAGCAGTGGATAACTTTATACAGATTTGATTAAGCACAAGGGTGAGTACATCCGTGGAACACATTCTCAGAAGAGAGATTGCTCAATCAAAAGGGTATTTGCATTTGTCATTTTGATAGATGTTGCCAAATTGTCTTCTTTAGGAGTTGTAGTCATTTACACTCAAGAAATACTGAATGAATGAATAGACAAATAGATAATATATCCAAGCTCAGTCATTTGGGGGCCCCCAGCTAGCAAGAAAAACTGGGAGGGGGCCGGTGCTGCTCCAGAGAAGTCACCAATTTTACTTTGACTTTTTTTGCCCCTTTGACATCATTGAGAAAGCTCGTCTTCTCATCTACAGAGCATGGCTCTTGGGGTAGGAGGGCAGTACAATCATCCCAGCAAACAGGTAGTTCTGTTTTAGTAATATTTATAGGACAATGGCTAGGTACTGAGAACTTTACAAGGGCTGGTTAAAATGTCTGAGGCCTGAAAAACAATAACAACACAAAACCCTACCAGTATTTGCTCCCAAATCCAAAAGAAGAAAACTGCAAAATCATAACAAATGTAAAAGCAAATGTTTATACAATGTATCATTGCATCAACTTCATTCAGTATTCACAAAAGTTTCACCACATCTGAAAATGGTTTGGAGGTCAGATTGTCTTAATCTCATAAGAATTCCCAAGTGTGCAGGAAAACTGCCAACAGATTACCGATTGTCAATTAAATGAATTCTCAAAGCCAAACCATTCCAAAGCAAAACTATAAAAGTAATCCTTTCCAAAGAAGTTCAAAGTAAAAAAGATTATATATGTTGTACATAAGACATATAGAATATTATGTCATATGTGTCATTAATATAACTATATAATATAAAACAATATTATATTGTATATAGTTTAAAATGTGACTGTGCCATTATATTTATATATTTATATACATTTATTTATTTGCTATGTAGTGAGATGCAGACTCCAAAGTGCCTTGGACCTGTGTGTCCAACTCTTTGCTGTCCCATGGACTGTAGCTGCCAGGTTCTTCTGTTCATGGACTCCAGGCAAGAATACTGGAGTGAGTTGCCATTTCTTACTTTAGGGGATCTTCCTGACCCAAGGATCAAACCCGTATGTCTTGTGTCTCCTACACTGGCAGGTAGGTTCTTTACCACTGTGCCACCTGGGAAGCTCTACCAAGATCTTAAAAACACTGTCAGCCCCACTCCATAGAGTATTCTTGCTCTGGGCCTGTGGGCTCCTGACAATCGCAGAGGAAAGTAAACCCACCCCTCAGATCAGAGGGTCTCCCGCATTAGCTGTACCTCTCAGTTTTGGCAGCAAGAACAAGACGTTTGGCAGCAAGAACAAGACGTAAATTTGTTTCTCGATAGACCTCATTGGTGAGTAGTTCTGAGTCCTGTGCAAAAATGAAAAGCTACACAGTTACATGCCATTTACTCATGAGAACTAAAGAAGAGACAGGTATACAGGAACCTGTTGAGAAGATCAGGGCCCAAGGATCACATGTTGGAAAGCTTGCTCTACAGTTTCTTGGAGGCCAGGGGGTTGCCATGGGTCCTGGCACACCTGACAGTTTGGACATCCGGGGCTGCCCCTCACTGCTGGGAAATGGGGGCCCATAGGAGCTCTATAACGACACTGAGCCCCTATCACGTGCCAAACATTTCAAATACATATATGTGATTGCCTTTCCCTTTTATAACAGGTAGACGAGATAGCATTACTGTCTCCACTTGTCCCCACTGTAAAGATGGAAACAGAGACTCAGGGCTGAAAACGGGCTGCTGGAAACAAAGAGTAAGTCAGTGGCAGGGCCGAGACCAGAAGCTGGGGGTCCTACCCCATTTCCACGTATATGCTGCCTCCACCTTCTATACCTTTGCTCTTGACCCCTCCCCTACCTGGAGCTCCTTTCCTTGCTACTCAAACTCTATAATTACTTAAAAAAATGCACTAAATCAAAACTGATGAATATTTTGTCAATATATTCAAGCTCCAAAATACAAAACCAATCTGAAAATGCTCTCCTCTTCTCTCCAAATCAGCTCCTTCCAGGTCTCTTCACTGCCCAGTATCACATCTTGATTGCCTTCTGGGACCTTCCTTCCGAGACAGTGGCCTTCCCTCCAAGCCAACCTTTCTGGCACCAGGGCACGGCTTCGTGGAAGACAGTTTTCCCATGGTCAGAGTTGAGGGGGATGGTTCAGATGGTAATGGGAGCGATGGGAGAGGCAGATGAAGATGCATTGGCTTGCCAGCCACTCACCTCCTGCTGTGCAGCTCTGGTTCCTAACAGGCCACCACCTGGGGGTGTTGGGGACCCCTGCTCCAAGGTCGTGTCCCCTTATTGCTTTGCTTGCACAAGCACCGTTTTATTTTTTTTTTTAATTATTTATTTATTTTGGCTGTGCTGGGTCTTAGTTGCGGCTCATGAAATCTTCCCTGCGGCAGGTAGGATCCAGTTCTCCAACCAAGAATGAACCTGGCCCTGGGGCTTTGCGAGTGCGGAGTCTTACCCACTGGACCCCCTGCACAAGCACCTTTTAAACTCCTTTGGAGACTCGTTGCCCAACCAAGATGATGTCTATACTTCTAGCATTAGAACAGCATCTCTTCAAGATTTCAGTTAAAATGCCCTTACCTCCCAGACTGGGCCTCACAGTGAGGGCTGCAGTCCCAGGGCTTGCGTGAGCAGGGAGGAAGAATCTGAGCTCAAGTTTGGCTGAGGGATAGGGGGTCCCGGGAAGGGGATGGCAAGAGGGCCCTTGAGAAAGAGGTGGGGAAAGCAGAAGGGCTTACAGTGTCCTGGGCACAGGGCCAGGCCCAGAAGCAGGACATTGACCAGACAGGACAGAACCTCTGTAGCCACAGCCCCACTGTCTCCCCAGGGATCCAGCCCTCCCCTGCTTCCTGGGCAATGTGGCTCCCTAACTGCTATGTGGACCTCCGCTGCCTGGCACCCAGCCCCTGCAAGCCTTCCACCCCACCCTCCAGGGCATCCAGGCCTCTACCTGAGTCCTGGCTCCCTTGTCCTTGGGACTGGGAGCTTGGCAGGCATCCCAAATGCCTTCCCTCTAGGAAAGAGAACCACAGGTGTGTTAGATTTGCCTGCCAATTTGGTAGGGAAACGAGGCTTCCTGGAAGCTGGAGAGAGCAAATCCAGACTGACAGGGTCCCCTGGTGGGGCTCCCCTCTGTGAAGCTCCCCCACACTCCTTTTCGGAGCTTCAGCATCACTCAACACCAGGAGGAAGCAAAGAGCAGGGGCTGGGGATGTCCGCTGAATGAATCAGCTACCATTCTGAGGCCTTACCACATGTCAGGGACTGTGCCAAACACTTTTGTATTTATCTCGTTTAAGCCTCACAACAGTCTAGGAGATAAAGCGGTCATTATGTCTGGTTCTACAGATGAGGAAACTGAGGCACAGAGTGGCTGGGAGATCCACCCAACGTCATACAGCCCCTCCTTTATTTGGGAGACCCCTCTCCCACTGCCACTGCTTCCAGCGGCCCTATCCATTTCTCCGCTGACCCTCTATTAGGGCAGGTGGCGTGGCGCTGAGCTGGATGAAAGCACAGACAGCGCTCTCCCTGGGTGGTGGCGGTGGCGTCTCCCAGGGGTCAGTTCAGCCCGGCTCTGAAGATGGTCTGCCTCCCCCTGTCCCCTCTCCAACTGTCCAGCGCTCAGCCCATTCACAGCTGCAGTACCCCACCCTTGCCCCGTGAACTCCAATCTCCTCCCCGTCCAGGCCAACTTCCTCCAGATGTGCTCCGGGTTGAGCAAAGCCCCACCAAAGTTGCACTGTGGCCCCCAGCCCCAAGCAGAGGAACCATCTCTGCCGGTCCTCTCTGCCTCAGGCACAGAAGACCTCCATGGGTGCCCTTTGCACCAGGACAGCTTCTCCAGCAGGGCCTGGGGAGAGGTGAAGTGGTCAGGCTTGCACTAACCAGAGCGGGTGGCCAAGTTTGCAGGATGAGACAGAGTCCTAAAAGCAAGGGTCAGATCAGTTGCAAAAGCTGGAAGGACCAAGAGGCCTTTGAACAGGAAGGCTCAAAAAGCAAAACAGAGCCTCTGCTGGTCTGGGGAGCTGCAGGGAGAATGACCACAGGCCCTCACAGCTGTGCCTTATGCCACTGATACATTTCAGAGCAGGTGGGCAGGGCCCTTACAGATCACTTTGCCATCCATTCCCGCATGGAACAGCTGGGAAGTTGTAGCCCAGAGAGGGCAGAGACATGCCAAAGGACACACAGCATATCAGGTGGTAAGGTCTACTTTCCTCTCTGGGTTCCCCACAGGATTGAGGGCTCCTCCTGTGGCAGGTTGGGGTCTTAGCCAGCACCGGACCCTGGGGTCTGGGAATTGAAAAGGTGGTGGGTGGCTGGGTGCTTCTTAGAGGCCTCTCACCCTGTTTCTTGCTAGGGAAACTGGACTAGGATGAGTCACTAGCTCTGTGTTCCCCCGGGGTTTGCCCAGAGCCTGGCCATGTGGGAGCAAGTTCATTGCCCAAATTTCCTCTTTTCAGTAAACAGCAGTCACTTCCTCCTGCGTTGCCCACTTCCTTCTGGTCACTGGGTTCCTGAGAGGCTCGAGGGGCAGGGGCTCACATGGACAGGCAGGACAGACCTTCTGGCACCGAGCTTGCCTTTATTGGACACAGGGCAGGCACGCAGGCTGTGTAAAGCTGGCGTCTGACCAGAGGCCACACGTGCATGCTAAGTTGCTTCAGTGGTATCCGATTCTTTGCAACCCCATGGACTGTAGCCTGCCAGGCTCCTTTGCCCATGGGATTCTCCAGGCAAGAATACTAGCGTGGGTTGCCATGCCCTCCTCCAGGGGATCTTCCTGATCCAAGGATCAAACCAGTGTCTCCTGCGGTTCCTGTATCGCAGGTGGATTCTTTACTGCTTGAGCCACCAAGGAAGCCCTGACCACAGGACACTGACTTTTAATCTACAAGACTGGAAACTGCAAAATGTCAATAAGTCATTGAAGAAGGGCGCCAAGCAATTAGGAACCACCAGGGGCAGCCCCAGGATGACCATGTGGGAGGACCTTGAGGGGATGATCTGGCTAGAAAAGGGGGGGGGGGGTGGAATGAAGCTGCATTTGTTTAGCATTTTACATAAAATATAAAATTGTCCAAAATGAATTTGGAGAGAGCTGCTAAGAGAGATGAGATGAAGGTCCATCATATAGGCACTTCAGCTTTTAGCTTTAGGAACAGAGGGGGGTGGGGTGAGACAATGCAGGGTTTGTTCATGAAATAACCAGCATCCCAGGGTGACCCAGAGAGAACTGGCAGGGCAAGGGGCCTGGGAGAAGTCTGGAGGGTCCAGAGGGTGTTAGGGTTGGTGCTGGAGCCTTGGAATGCTTGGGCTACGTCTGCTTGGCTCTGCAGAGATGTGGGGCCCTCCAGAGGCCCCTACTGAGATGTTGCCCCCGGTTTTGAGGCCTCCACATTTTGCCTGTCTCACTGGGGTCTCTGGGCTTGTAGCTGCGCCTCCTCAGAGAGGGCCATATTCTGGGCCTGGCAAGGGCCAGGAGAGTTTATAGAGTTTTTAGATAGTGTAGGCTCAGCACCACAGGGATTCCCTTGTAGCTCAGTGAGTAAAGAATCTGCCTGCAGTGCAGAAGACTCGAGTTCGATTCCCGGGTGGGAAAGATGCCCTGGAGAAGGAAATGGCAACCCACTCCAGTATTCTTGCCTGGAGAATCCCATGGAAAGAGAAGCCTGGCAGGCTACAGTTCATGGAGTCTCAAGAGTTGGACATGACTTAGCAACTAAACCAGTACCAGCACCTAGATCTGCCAACTTTCAAGGGACCTGGGAAATGTCTGTAGACTAAAAAAAAAGCCCCAGGAAATGAGGAAAGTCAAAATTAATAAATGTTTCATTACATGTCTGAAAAGTATAACATTATGTCTACTTCATAAAAACATCATAAAAACGTTCCTCCCTTTGAAAACAATTTATAGGTTGGGTATTTCTCACTCAGCCAGGATTCCCACATAGACATGATATCTGCCAAGATGTAGTAGCCAAATGTATATTAAAAAGAATTCCTCATAGATACTATCCAGAGCATAATTCTAGAAACTCCTTCAAACATTTTTAGAGCAAATGTTATGCCTATGTTTACTATGGAATGTGGGGCATTTTAATATGTTTGATCTGATGTGGGGTATGGCCTCCATGAGAAAGTGGGCCTGCGAGCATGTTGAAATGACAGGGAGAGTGGAAGTTCTAGTGCAGGAGGGTCAGGCTTGAGGCCAGCTTGCCCACTGAGAAGCACAACCACCAGCTCTGCCAGGGCCTGCAGAGATCCCTTGTCGAATACCAACTGCCCAGACCCAGCCAGCCAGGCCAGACCCGCACCCCAGGGTGAGGGGGCTCACTCCTGCCACCTGGGAAGGATGCTTTCCTCGTGCCTAGCAGATACCTGCCTCCCCCAGATACCCCAAGGGCTTAGTCTGTCCTCGGTGACAGCAGGCTATGGCCATCCTTACTTTTGCACAACTCATTGACAGAGCAGAGGATAGAGGGGGGCTGTACCCGCTCCTGCCCTGTGGCCTCCTGTATGCCTCCTGTGTGTAGCTGTGTCCAGGAGATGTACAGACCCAGTTCTCCCAGCTCTTCCCCTTTCCATAGGACTTCTCGGTCACACCCTCCTCTGGCTTCCTAGCCCACAAGCCAGCTAATCACAGCCCCTCTTGCTCATGACAAGGCACATGAAACACGGTTCCTTTACTCCCGAGGGTGGCCCATCCCACTCCTGCAGTGCATTCTCTGGCCTCCTGTGTATTGAGGCTGCGAGAGCCCCCTCTCAGAATCTGCTGATTTCAGCAGATCAGTGCTAACTGTATAACAGTAATAATTCATATACTGAGTGCTTACTGTGCTAGGTGCCATGTTAAGCACGTTCACATGATTTCATAATCTTTATAAGAACAATGGTATGAAGTAACTACTTGTACTATCCCCATTTTATAGATGATGAGACTGAGGCTCAGAGAGGTAACATAACTTACCCAAAGTCAGACCACTGGTTAATAGCAGAGCTAGGAGACAGATTCCATCAGTCTGGATTCACAGTCCAGTCTTTGACTTGATGCATATTGCACTCAAAGAGCTCTAAAGGGTGCTGAGATGGAGGTGCCCTTGCCATGGCCACCCAGGCAGATCCTTGACGGGCCTAGGGAGAGGTGGGGCAACACAGGCCCAGCTAACACAGGGCCCAGAGCTGGTTGGCTGGCTGCGTGAGCTCACTCTTTCAACCTGCCTCCCAGTAAGCAGTCTGATTCAGGGTTCCATCCATCTCAGAAAGTTCGTTTTCCACCTATGTAAAAACATGCAAACCAAAGAAGGTGAGGTATTGTTTTGATCTGGTCCTTTCACAAATATCGCTATGACCTTCCATTCTTCATTAAGTAAAGTGAGCTTTAGTATTCACATTTCCCCCACAAACTTGCATGACTCATTCCCTCACGTCATCTAGGTCTCTGCTCCAGGTCACCTCCTCAGTGGGGCCTCCCTGATCCCCTGAAAAGTAGCCTGCCCCTCCTGCTCTCCTCTTGCATTATTGTGAAACAAAGGCACTTGCCTCTTGAAGTTACTGTGAAAGTTCAAATGAGCTGATACATAAAACACTGGTAACACTAAGGGCTATTTAAGTGGCAATCCTTTTTTAAGTTACATCACTGGCACAGTATACTTTTATCTGCCTTTTAATGTGGGTATCCTCTCTCTCCCTTACTAGACTATTATCTCCATGAGGGCAGGGGAATGATTTTGCAGCTTGTTCACTACCTTGTCCTCCAGAGTCTGGAACTGTACTTGGCACATAGAAGGGGCTCAGTATGTATTTGTTGAATTCAGAACGTGAACCCACTGAGATCTGGAGAGGTGGGAAAAGATTTGGCTTTCATTCACAGATTCTATAAACATTTACTGAGCACACACTCAGCGCCAAGCAATAAGCTCTCTCGGTTGTGCAATACTAGCCTATGAATCTGGCAGGGCAAAGATTTAAAACCAAAGTTTGGCACTGAGGTATAATTTATAAAGAGAGAAATGTACAATTTCAAGGGGACACTGATGGATTTTTGAGAACTGCAAGTTCACACTCCCGTAAAGAAACGGAACAGAGTTTCAGCTTGGCAACGCGGGGTTTTGAGGCCAGGTTACACGGAGGCACAGAAGGCAGGCGGTGATGCTACCCGACCTGCCTCTGGGGTGCCTGCGGGAGAGCCCCGGGTCGAAGCGGGCGTTCCTGGGGGCGGGCGGGGGTGGGACTACAAGTCCCAGGCTGCTTTGCGCGCCCGCCAGCCGTGCGGAGCGCCGGGGCTCAGGTCGGCCGAGCCTGGGGCAGGGCCGGGGCGGGAGCCGGCGCGGCTGTGCGGGTACCTGCAGAAGCTGTCCGGTAAGGGCCCGCTGCGCGGCTACCGCAACCGCTGGTTCGTGTTCGACGCGCGCCGCTGCTACCTTTACTACTTCAAGAGCCCGCAGGACGCGCTGCCCCTCGGCCACCTGGACATCGCAGACGCCTGCTTCAGCTACTCGGGCCCCGACGAGGCGGCCGAGCCCGGCGCCGAGCCGCCCGCGCACTTCCAGGTGCGCAGCGCGGGAGCCGTCACGGTGCTCAAGGTGGGACCGCGCCCCTGCAGCCCAGCACCTGCTTCCCGGCAACGCGTGCACACGCCCTTCTTGAGTTCCCTCCTCTTAGCCTTGGGGCTGCCCCTGGCACCCAGCTCAGACTAGCTCCTCTGCCCGTCGGACTTTCTCCGTTCACCCTCCCTTTCTTAAAAGCCCGTCTGCCAGCCTTTCCCCGTTTCTTTCTCAGACTCTGTCCCCGTGTCCCCATCTGAAGCTCTTCACCTGAGTTTAGACCAGAATGGCTGGGCCCTCAGCCCCTTGACCCGTTATCACCCTTCCCTCGGGTTCTCTCTGTCCACCTCCCCTCCTCTCCTCACCCCTCTTCTGTGGATGTCCTGTGTAACCCTCCCAGGCACTCATGACTGAAGGCTTCCTGCCCTTGACTAAATTATTACCCTCTTTAGCTGCCTCATCTGTAAAATGGGGATAGTAGTAGTATCTACATCTTGGGGGAGTTGGGGTTACATGAAATATACGCTAACCACTGGTAAATGTTACGACATCCAAGATTATAGACAGAGAGAGTCAGAGATCCCCTCCAGAGTCAGCAGGGATACTGCTGCTAAGTTCACACAGTCAGTCAGTAGCAGAGCCTGTTTGCTTGCTCCCTGCTTTGGCTGGGAGAGGAGGGAAAGGGTTCCTTCAACCAGTCCTGCCTTGCGCATTTGAAGCTTTCTGTGTTGAAGCATGGAACTTGCATCAGGAGTCACCCTGGTGCTCAGAAGCCCCTCCTCCCCCCTCGTTCTTGGGGGGCTCCCATCGTCTCCTAGGGGCCCTCCTGCTTCCAGCACCTGAGCCAGTCTGGGCCTTGGCCTGGAATCTGGTCTCTCTCCCAGCCTCCCGCCTTGCCTGGTTCCTGTGAGCCTCCACCCTCACTCATCTCTGTCTCTCTTCTCTTCCGTATTGCAAGCTGGGTTTCTCCAGAGCAGCAGGGCTGGGCTGGGATGTATGAAAACTTTGCAAAGCTGGCCAAGTAGAGAGCAGAATGGGCTGAGCCTAGCACCCTTGGCCTTGTAAGCACAGGGCTGTTCCCGGGATTTCTGAAGCCAGCAGCAGTTGGGGCTGCTCCCCGAGGTAGTTTTTCAGAGTTTTGTCAACTCAGTTCCTGCTGTTGCAAGCAGAGGCTGATTACTGTGTTCTTGTGTCCTTTTAGATTCTTCCATCCCTTCTTTAAGTGGGTGCAGACAGCCTGGTTCTCCAAAGGAAGCCAAGCAGAGTTGTAGTTCAACTGGGGTTTACTTAGAAGCATTTGTGTAAACTTTGGAGTGACCCTAGCAAGTACACAGGGACTTTTGCCAAAGAAAGACTTGTCCTCACTGTCGTGGACTGTCCCTTTGTACAGCTGAATTTCCTGTCGAATTGTTTGTTAAAACAGAAAATAGAGCATCCTGTTTCAGCTTTTCTCAGATGACTTTGGAACCCTCTATCAGATATTTTCATTACAGTTTTTTGAATGGTGGAGATATCTAGATAAGTGGGGTTACAAAATACAGTATCAGGAGTGCGGCTTTAGAGTTGGATGGACTTAAACTTATGGCTTGAATTTGCTGCTGACAGGCGTTGAGCAAATTATACAACCTCTCTGTCCCAGTTTCTTCTTCAGCCTAATGGGAATCTTACCGTCCTCACTGGTTAGTTTTGAGAATTCTGGAAAATGGCCGGCACAGAGTAGGCAGTACATGGCATCCATAAGAAACAACAGGTAGTGTTTCTAGCCATTATGTAGTATGTTCGTGTAATGGAATATTATACAGCAGCGAACATCTAGGAATGAGAGCTGTAAGTGTCAACATGGATAACTCCCATAAACATAAAATTGAGAAAGAAAAACAAAGTTACAGATTGCATACAGAGGTATGATTCATGTAAAAATTGAGATCACGTAGATGCATATGCTGTGTGGGAATGGGAGAGCTCTGTTGGGGTGATGAGCCCTGCATTCAGGATGGTGGTTTCCACTTGGGAAGAGAGGGGAATGTGAGTGGAAATGGGTGCCTGGGGGCATCCACTGTTTTTGCAATGTTTTATTTCTAGCACCAGGTGGTGTTTGTTTTATTATTCTATATATCTTCTTCTGTGTTCAGAATATTTCTCTCTCTCTCTCTCTTTTTTTAAATGAAATAGATCTTCACGTAGGTTACTGACTATGGAACATTTTGGTATGTGAAGCTGAATTAGTCATAGAATAAGAGAGAGCATGCCTGAGGCCAAGGGTCTGCTTTGTAAAAACAGTGGAAATGGAAACACAGGCTAGGCTCTTCAAAAGAAGGGAGCAGTCAGAATGCAGGGTTTCAGAGTAAGGAGTGTGTTTTAAGAAAGATGAATTTTAGGGTATGGTGATTCCTTCTGAGCTGTGGGAGTAAAAATTTTATGGTGGTAAAAGTGGAAATTAGCAATTTATCTTCCTTTTCACCTTTCGCATCCAAGAACTGATTCCCATAAGCTTTAATGCTTCGCTTTAGGGCTGCTCAGCTGTAATGCAGACCTTGATTTCTTTTTTTTTTCCAGACCTTGATTTCTGAGGGGGTTGTAGGTTAGTGAGGATTAATCCCTACTCGAGGTTTAGCTAATGTATATAATTTTATAGGTACAATTTCTTTTGACGGGTTAAAAAGAAAAAAAAAATCACTTTGCTTATTGTATTATCATATGGTTCTTATTTTAAAGTGACTTTCTGCCTACTCTGGAAGAGCTGTGGTTTTGTTGAACTTTTCCAAAATGTTTTACTGCTTGAGTCTTAATGAAAGCTGATATTGGAATTTCTTAGTAAACTTTTCTGTTCCTAAACTCAGAGATGTGGTCCATGCCTTATTTTACTGATGAGGAAATGGAGACCAGAGAGGGAATGTGATTTGTCTGAGATCATGAAGATAGACTGAGACCTTCTTGGATAGTAGATTGTAGGAACAGTGAGTGTCCAAAATGCCAGGTATCTAATTCTCTTATCTGTTTTGACAAGTCTTCCTTTTTTTTTTTAACTTCTATTTCAGTGGCTTGGGATTAGATGTCATGGTTTTTCCTGTAATGCATTGAATTTCTGTCCTTTTCATACAGAATGAAAGCACCAGCAACATTGTACCTACTGATTCTTTACCAGGCTGTATGTACTTGTTACTTGACATTTGGAAACTGCTACAACAGTCAGATAGAAACTGATGCTTCTTGTGGTGCTGTGTGTGTGTGTGTGTGTGTGTGTATGTGTATGTAGAGGTGCTAGAGGCTGCTCTCTGAGCTTTGCTGGGATCTGAGACACAGGAGTTAATGCTGAAGAGAGCTGTCCCATAGAGAGGGAGAGCATGTGACTGACTGGGAGGAAAGCTTGAATGACCCTGCCCTGCCAGATTTCTGCAGTTCCCGGAGTGAGGAGCGTCATCAGACCGTCAGCAGATTCACCCCACTCCCTCTGCTGTGTTTCTTGAAGGCATGTGGTGTGCAAATGGACATGTGTGTTGGTTTTTGAGCCACACGTAACCGAACAATCATGCATGCCTATTCTTAACCCACTTTTGTGGGAAGGACGCACATTCTCTGGTGTTGAAACTGCTCTCAGTCTAATGACAAACATTTGTTAGCTTGGGTAATCACAGTGTGTGCAGTACAAAATAGATGGGGTGTATCAGAGTTCTTGGCTAAATGGTTCTGCTAAGCTGTTTGTCCCTGGGGCATCTGCTCAGGGGTCTTGAAGTGTTAGTTAAATCTTTTATCAAGACGTAACTTTTCATGGGTTTGTCATGGCTTCCCAGAGAGTATGTTCCTTAAAAGTAGGTACAGTTTTGTGGGTGTGATATCACAGAATCTTTCTGTCTCCCACTGCCTGTCATACAGGCCTCACTGTAGTGTAGTCTCCCCACTATTTCCTGCTCAGGAGGACCCCCAAGGGCCGCTGTTTGTATCCTCGCCTCCCAGAACAGTGCCTGCACAAAGTAGGTGCCCAAGTAGACATTTGTTGAGTGAATGAGTAGAAGGTGGTTACCCAGTAAGCCTTGGTTTTGGTGTGAGCTCCAACCCTTTAGAAGTGATCAGCCAGAATTCTCAAATGCCTCCAATGACATTCTCACCATGTGTCATGGAGGTGGCTGCCGTTCAGGGAATGCTCAGTGAATATGACGGGCATCAGGGATCCAGAAGCGGGATTACCATCAGTCCTTAATTCTCATGTCTCTCATATTTCATGCCTGCAGCTTAGACTCTGAGGGCCTTGTTGTGGCAGTGAGTGAGTGATTATGTGGTAAATATTTGAGGTCTTGCACCAGTGCCAACTCTGGGACTACTCTGCTCTGATGTTCTAGTACAGAAACAACTGTAGAATGAGTGTAGATCTGTTCCCATAATTTTTGTTTATGGACTATGATATATAAATGTCATGTAATTTTCACATCACAAAATGCAGTTCTTCTGATTTTTTTAAAAAACTATATGAAAACATAAAGACAAGGAGATCCAGCCAGTCTATCCTAAAGGAAATCAGTCCTGAATATTCATTGGAAGGACTGATGCTGAAGCTGACACTCCAATACTTCGGCCACCTGATGCGAAGAGCTGATTCATTTGAAAAGACCTTGATGCTGGGAAAGATTGAGGGCAGGAGGAGAAGGGGACGACAGAGGATGAGATGGTTGGATGGCATCATTGACTCAATGGACATGGGTTTGGGTGGATTCCGGGAGTTGGTGATGGACAGGGAGGCCTGGTGTGTTGCAACTCATGAGGTCATAAAGAGTGAGACACGACTGAGCGATTGAACTGGACTGAAAGACCATTCTTGGCTTACAACTGTGTAAAGACAGGCATTAGGCTAGATATGATCCTCAGCCTTAGTTCACTGACACTGGTGTTTTAGGAATGCCTGGCTGGGCACTTCTCATTCATTTGTTCACTCACTCTCACTCTTTATGCTTAGGCACTGCGGGTATAGGTTGAATAAGGTGAGCATAGTTCCTGTCCTTGAAGAGGTTTCTGGGTAGCCCAGAGACAGGCATTTATAAAAATAA